CTGGAGTGCAATGGCGCGATCTCGGCTCACCGCAACCTCCGCCTCCCAGGTTCAGGCAATTCTCCTGCCCCAGCCTCCTGAGTCGCTGGGATTACAGGCACACGCCACCATGCCCAGCTAATTTTTTGTAGTTTTAGTAGAAACGGGGTTTCACCATGTTGACCAGGATGGTCTCGATCTTTTGACCTCGTGATCCACCCGCCTCGGCCTCCCACAGTGCTGGGATTATAGGCTTGAGCCACCACACCCGGCCTTGAACAATTCTTAAAAAAAAAAAAAAAAATGTAGAGCCATGGTCTGGCTCTGTTGCCCAGGCTAGAGTACAGTGGTGTGATCATAGTTCGAGGTAACATCAAACTCCTGGGCTCAAGGCATCCTCCTGTGTCAGCCTCCTGAGTAGCTGGGACTACAGGTGTCAGCCACAGCAATAATTCTTTATATTAAATTTGTTTCTGGCCAGGTGTGGTGGCTCATGCCTGTAATCCTAGCACTTTGGGAGGCCGTGGTGTCTAAAAAATAAATAATAATGACCAGGCACAATGGCTCACGCCTGTAATCTCAGCACTTTGAGAGGGCGAGGCAGGCAGATCATGAGGTCAGGAGATCAAAACCATCCTGGCCAACATAGTGAAACCCTGTCTTTATTAAAATTACAAAAAATTAGCTGGGCATGGTGGCAGGTGCCTGTAGTCCCAGCTACTCAGGGGGCTGAGGCAGGGGAATCTCTTGAACCTGGGAGGCGGAGGTTGCAGCAAGCCAAGAGATCTCACCACTGCACTCCAGCCTGGTGAAAAAGCAAGACTCCATCTCAGAAAAAATAAAATAAAATAAATTAATAAATAATAATAGTAATAAAACAACTGGTGTGGTTTCTTTTTTCATGTCAGATGGGTAACGTACCAATGTCGGAACAAGGTTTGAAGATGGTACATCTCACATATGCACGTGAACACCCAGTCATCACACTTATTAACTATAAAAGGATCTGGTGTGGTTTCTGTCTCCTGGCTGGACCTTGACTGATACAAAAACTGGGACTATGAAAGGAGGAGTTAGGTGTGACAGTTGTGAGAGAAGTGACTTCTACCCCTCAATTCCCAGGCCCATGTGTTGTGGCTAAGAGGGAGATGGCACCATGTAACGGTCTCTGAGTAAAAATATGTACTGTATTGGCCAGGTGCAGTGGCTCATGCCTGTAAGCCCAGCACTTTGGGAGGCTGAGATGGGCAGATCACCTGAGGTCAGGAGTTCAAGACCAACCTGCCCAACAAAACCCTCTCTCTACTAAAAATACAAAAATTGGCCAGGCATGGTAGCTCACACCTGTAATCCCAGTACTTTGGGAGGCCAAGGAGGGCGAATCGTCAGAGGTCGAGAGTTCAAGACCAGCCTGACTGACGTGGAGAAACCCTGTCTTTACTAAAAATACGAAATTAGCCAGGTGTGGTGGCGAATGCCTGTAATCCCAGCTACTAGGGAGGCTGAAGCAGGAAAATCACTTGAACCTGGGAGGCGGAGGTTGCAGTGAGTTGAGACTGTGCCATTGCACTCCAGCCTGGGCAAGAAGAGTGAAACACCGTCTCAAACAAACAAAAAACAAAAACAAAAATTAGCCGAGTGTGGTGACATTCACATGTAATCCCAGCTACTCGGGAGGCTGAAGTAGGAGAATTGCTTGAACCCAGGAGGTGGAGGTTGCAGTGAGTCCAAATTGTGCCACTGCACTCCAGGGTGACACTCCATCTCAAAAAACAAAAAACAAAACAAAAAAAGTACTGTATTTGATGAGATGGAAACTATCCCTTCAGAATATTGACTCTCAGCTGCGTGTGGTGGCTCACGCCTGTAATCCCAGCACTTTGAGAGGCTTAGGTGGGCAGATCACCAGGTCAAGAGATCGAGACCATCCTGGTCAACATGATGAAACCCTGTCTCTTAAAAAAAAAAAAAAAAAAAA